CATTCTCAAACATTTGGGATGGTGAGAAATCCAGATAGAACCTGCACTACCAGAACATGCTTGTTTCATCTTGGAGTATAAAGCCCACATGCAGAATTAATAAAAATAATTGCATTTAATGTATTGTCCACTATAAGAAATGGAAATGTAAGAGAGTTGGGGCAAAGCAATATACACGAGAAAAAAAGAAATAACATCATTTTCTCATGTGACTCAAGGCAATTTTAATTGAATAGGCCATTCATTAAGCAGTATGTAACAAATAACCACTGCTGGTATCAGATAAACCAAGACGTGGTCCACAATGCTCTCAGAAGCACAATGATGTAACTAGTTCAAAATAATCAGATTTTGATGTAATGATATTTTGTACATCAGATTTAAAGGAGTTGGATTTGATGTATCACTCTTATGTTCCACTAATATACCTTTATTCTTCTTGGAACCAACAGGAAATGATGCAGTTGTAAGTTGCTCGGTGGTAACTGTGATGGTATTTTCTATCCCAGGGATAGTTGAATCCAATGAACCAGAATCAGTCTGTACCTTATCACGTTTACGTTGCTGTCGTTTTTCTCTGTGACTAATTTTAGTTTCCCAGGCTCCTGACATAGCCCCAGAAAAAAAAAAGTTATTCAGTAAGGGGAAAACAAAAAGTTGTAGTGTTGTGTTTTTTTTGAGGGGGAGGGGGGAAGACAGGGGAATGGAGCAGTGCACACAAAACAGCATGATAAATTTATATATTAAATATGCTATTTAATAGGAGTGCTGATTATATCAATTTATCCTAAGATTTATTCTAATCTCAATATATTGTTTTAGGCAGCTAACTGCCATTATTTATTCTCATAATTTTTATCAAATCTATCTCCTATGGCTTAGAAAAAAATGACACAGAAGTCATCTTGTATATTTTTCTTTTGCTCAATAAAACTGATAGGAGAGTGTTATACATAACTACTAATAAATGAGTTTATTAGGCAATAACAATAAATGCTCACTCAAAAAATTTGTGCACAGCCTTCTAGGGATAGCATATTTAAGAACAATAAGGGAAAACCTAAACTACATTTCTAGAAAACAAAGACAAAACAAATGGCTTTTTAAGCTCAAGATATTGAGTTAGACCTTAAGTTTCAAGGCAGTTCCTTTTAGGAAAAGCACTATTAGATCCTTAAATAATTTAGCTAAAAAAGTGTTTCCTAACAATGTCATAGATCTGTACATTAAGATCTATAGTTATTAAAAAGAAGAGCTAGATACAAGATTAAGCAAAACAAATGCACCTTTGATACAATGCACCTTGGTAAAAAAAAAAAAAAAGATTAAATTTTTTTCTATAGTCCTTTCACTTGCTCAGGTACCTTCATCAACTTCCTTCCCATCATGGCGTGAACTGTTTTGCACTGCTTTAGCATCTGACTTTGATTTCTTCTTATTTTTCTTTGACTGAAAGTAAAATAAAATGTTACTTAATATTTCATGTTTTTGGAAAGGTAGGAGTCAGTAAAATACATAATAAATGTATGATACTGACAACCAAAAAATTAATGTTTGATTAAAAAAATTAACATACTAAAATGGCAATAATACAAGGTTACCATTTATTGAGTAGTTACTAAATGCTAAGTACTTTACACTATTTATTCCTTAAAAATACTCAGTGGAGAAGGTATTATTCCTATGTTAGAGATGAGAAAATGAAGACTTAGAGATGTTAAATATTAAAGAGGCTGTTCTGGGTCACACAGTTAGTAAATGGTAGTCAAATTTGGAAATAGGTCTATCTGGCTCCAAAGTCTGTGCCCTTAGACATCATGCTATCTTAATTTAAATAATAAATAAAGTGCTATAATTTGGCGTTTTTAGAGCACTAAAATAAAAACCTATTGCTAGTGTTTTCAGAAGAAAAATGATGTACTGATTAATGGGTTGGATTTCATAAAGATTATTGGCATACCTTATGTATAATAAATTCAGTCAACTGTATAAAGTAGGTAATATTTTGTCAGTTTAAAAGCTATGTGTAAATACCTAGAATTAGTATATACAGGGTGGGACAAAAGTAGGTTTACAGTTGTTCATATGGAAAATAACACAATAATAAAGAATACAAGAAATAAATTGTGTTTTGTGTACTCACAACTGTAAACCTACTTTGCTCCAACCTGTAGTAGATGCTTAATAATTCATTTAAGAAAAAACACACAAGATGTTGACATTTTGGAATGGCCTGCCAACTCCCTTCTATTATTTTCTCATTTCAAAAGCTTGCTAATAAACTTCTAAAGCCATGATTTCTATATTTACATTGTTTCCAGAAAATTAATAGCTGTGACTTTATTTATACGTTGTATTCACTCATTTAACTATTTATTGAGATTATCTATGTGCGTATTGTTGCACACTATCTTAAAGTTAAGTTTACAACTAAAAAGAGATTGTATTTTCATGTCTTTTTTATGGGTAAGCAGTAAACAGACTGAATAAGCAATAATGACAGCTAACTGCTTTTTCTATCAATAAACTACTTGCAAATATTCTCAAGTGACATGACCTCTTAAAGGTGATTAAAATTATATTTGATAATGGGAGCATATGAAAATTATTAAATTTTGTTTACATTCCCCATAGTTCATTTGCATTTGTTTGTTTCACTGTATGTTATTATCATTAACATGCATCATGTATAATGTCCTGTTTTATCACATCTACCAAACCAGGTTCATATCCACTTTTTAAAAATTACGGTATCATCCACATACCATAATATAATTCAGTGGTGTTAGTATATTTGAAGTTGCATAACTACCATCATTATCTAATCCAGAATATTTTCATCATCCCAAAAAAGAAATGTGACACCCATTAGCAGTCCCTCCCTGCTACCTTTTTCCCACTGGCACCCACCATGAATCTTCTGTTAGTCTCTGATAGCCACTATTAAATAAAGATAGCCCATTGAGCATCTGTCAATACAGTCTAGAGTAGTGGTTCCCAATGTGGGGCACACGCCCCAAAAGGGGGCAATTTGAGAATGAGTTATTGACAGTGAATTTTTTGCATTTCTTATAGTTCTAGGGGCCTCATATACAGTATATATATAACCTATATAATAAAGAGCTAATATGCTAATTAGACTGAACAGGGGAACGAACTTCCGAAACAACCAGTGGGTGAGGGGTGGGGGGCGGGGGGGAGGCCACGAGGCAGCCAGAGCTGCAAGGGCCAAGCCCCTTGCACGAATTTCATGCATCAGGCCTCTAGTTGTGACTATATTTATGCATTTCAGTTTTCTATTATATTTTTGAAACTTTATTTGCTATCTTTTCATATCACTTCATGTTATTATTTTTTTTTAACAATTTCTTAGTGATTTCTTCCTCAGTACTTCAACTGTCCTTTCATTCTTTTATTTTCCTCTTTCGTGGATGCCATGTTCTTTGGAAGCTTGTTTAGACCAAGGTGATGGCCTTTTAGGCTTCCTCCCCATGAATAGGAGTTCAATTTTTGAATAATAAGAATTACATGTCATGGTGGGGTGGGCATCAGGATTTTAGAGATGCTTAGGTGGGGCATGGCCAAAAAAAGGTTGGGAACCACTGGTCTAGAGAATGGGTTGGCAAACTTTTTCTATAAAAACAGTAAATATTTTAGGCTTTGTAGACCATATGGTTATACACGTAGCAACCACACAACCCTGCCACTGTAGCATGAAAGTAGCCATATACAGTGTATAACTGAATGGGTATGACTATGTTCCAATAAAATATTATTAACAAAAATAGACACCTGGCTTGATTTGGAAGGTTGAAGTTTGTCAATCCCTGATCTGGAGCAGCAATGTCCAATAGAAATATAATGCACACATATAATTTAAAATTTTCTAACAGACACGTGTTAAAAAGTGAAGAGAAATTGATAACATTAATTTTAATAATACATTTATCCCAACATGTCCAAAGTACTATCATTTCAAAATGTAATCGTTAAAAAACAAAACTATTAAGAGTACGAGCAAGACTGCTTAAATAGCCACATGTGGCAGGTAGCTACCATACTGGACAATGCAAAACTACAGGAACTAACTAAAAGTGGTACTCCATTTTACTGATAAGAAAACTGAGGCCATAAAGACATATACATTGGCTAAGATCATAGGGTTTATTAAGTGGTAAAACCAGGACTAAAATCCAGTTCTGACTCCAGAGCCTGCTCTCACAAATACTCTTCTATTCTCTTTCTACATTTAACTCCAAATACAAATTTAATCATGCATTAAGTATGTGATTTGGGGCTAACTCACTCTAAACCCTTTTCCCCAACTGTTCTTTGGGACAAAAATTCCTACTAACCTCACATAATAAGCTTCTTTTAAGGATTAAATAGATGTGAAAGCAGATTAACTACAGAGCAGTATACATAAGATTTTTAAAAGAGGGAAACTATATAAAAAGGATAGAAATTACATTCACACTGACATATATACTGTGATTTGTCACTAAAATCTGCAGAAAAACAAAAAATTATCTTTGTTTAGGCTTCAGTCTTGTTTGATTTTACTATTATCTTTAAAAGTAGTTAGCTAAACAAAATATTCAGAAGAGACTTAATAACATATTAGTAAAAGCTTTAAATAAAAATGCATACATACTACTAATTTGCTCCAGCCATCCAACTGAAGTGAATTTCTTACTTCTGAGCAGCTCTACTACAACTAATACTTTTGAAAGAAAACCGGGAACACACACACTCTTCTGGCTTCCTTGTTACCATAGTTCAGCCCCCAGCCCTCAACTCCAATTTGTTGTCAGACTCCACCAAGAATCCGGGTGGATTACTAAACTAGTCTCTCCTGAATGGTCTTCAGGCAATCAAGATTTATTAAATACCTACTACGTGCCAGATACTGTTTTAGGAACTCAGTATTATAGAGAACTGAACAAAAGTCTCTACTTATGGGAACTGTGTTATCATCGAAAAGGATAAACAGACATGTAAATGAGAAATTAGGAGAAATTCTTATCCTCAAGGTCTTCCTTCCCAATGCTCATCTCCCAATATATCTATACCAGTCCAATTAGCTAACATTCCCTACCAGCTAAGAAGTCATTAATAATATCCTATATGACATTTAAGTTCTTCCACAAATTAATCTCAACCTATAGTCTTTTATTCACACACTAGAGGCCCAGTGCACGAATCCTCGGCCTGGCCAGCACCCTCTTGCAATCCGGGACCCCCCCAGGGATGTCAGAGAGCCGTTTTGGCATGATCCCCGCAGGCCAGGCCCAGGGACATGCACCGGGCCTAGTATGCATATAAGATCTTTGGTTACTCTCTTCCCACCCTACCCCCTTCCCCCTTCTTTCTGAGATTCATCAGTCTGTTCCATGTATCCATGCCTGTGTGTCGAGAGTCTGCCCCCTGGTGGTCATTGTGTGTCATAGCTACCAGCCAGTTGGCTGGTCAGCAGGTAGCTTAGGCTTTTATATATACTAGAGGCCTGGCATTGTATAGATGTACCTATTGAAGGACATTTTGGTTACCTCTAGTTTTTATTGATTATGAATAAAGCTACTATAAACATTTGTGTGAATGT